CTTTCCTCGCGTCCGAAGACGACCTAGCGTACTAGTGTCGAAAATTTACAAATAAAATTTGTTCCCGTTTCCCGAAGAATTTCTTCTATCAACTTATATTTCTCGGGATGCCTATTTTCAAATTCAGTAAATGTTCGATGTTGGATTTCCAGGTCGTCATCGGGCTTGAGAAGGTGTGTAACGAACAATTAAAATTCCAACCGTGCTGAAAAATCAATAATCATTTTGTGTGAGCACTAATAAGGGGCTGCCATTTGCGTTGGTCTGTATCGATTGGCTCTTGTCTCTTCCATCTTTATTTGAGAGGTTTGTGCACACCATGCAGCTTGATAATAGATCGATGCGTGAATCATCGGAATGTATGACATCAAGAAATTCTTGGTCTTTTTTGGAGGAGCAGACGCCGAAGATGCGAGATTTGTCCCATGCGAAGGTGTGTATCAAGGCTATGCATAGTCACTTCAGATAAGTGGTCACGGCTCTCAACTAGTAGTTGGTGCTCGTGGATGCGTGTGGAGACGATCCTTCCTGTTTGGTCACGATCTACGGTTTCACAAGCTCCGCATGGGATCTTGTAGATGACCTTTTCCTTACCAAGACAGCCAACCCTATCGTCAAGGTTTACAAGCTGGGAGTTTAATGTTTAACTCCTTCTCGAGCGTAAATTCATTTCCCGAAATGGTTGAGTTGATGGTGCTGTAGAGCCTTTCTATTCGGCCCTTTTTAACGACAACGGCCCTGCTACTGTTTCCTGCTCATGTCTCTGAGGATGAATCCGCGACGGATGTCGAAACGTCAGGCGAATAAATGTATTGTTCGAGCGATCGAGTTGTCTTCTTCTCAATTACTTCCTGGGACTCGGTTGTCCCATAACAAATTGTCGTCTACATACCATACCCACGACTTAGGGTTAACCAATTGAAGAGCCTTCTATTCCAGCTTCTGCATTGTTACTTCGGTAAAGAATCCAGATAGGAGTAATACCATTGGAGTTCCTTTTAACTGTTGATAGTACTGATAGCCAGAGGAAAAATTTGTTTATAAACAAAGGTCTACGAGTTCAGGCAATGCGGCTATAGGAACTTTCGTCTCGTAGGTTTTTAGAACTTCCTCTGTGCATTGCAGCCGCTCGCACAAAATGACTATTGATTTTTTTCAGCACGTTTGAAATTTTAATTGTTCGTTGCACATTCTCTCAAATCTAAAGACGAAGCGGGCAACCAGTCTCGACAATTTACTGAATAAACTTATTTTGTTTCCTAAAGAACGTCTTTCCCTCAAACTTTTCGATAGGGTGAGTTCTTCCAGTCCGTTAACTTATTGTCTATCTGACGAAAATCCTCAAGGAGCTCTGGATGCAGTTCAATTATTTATCCATCAGACACACCAGTCCGAATGTGTAGTCATTTAGGACTCTAATACTTTATTCCACAATCATTTACCCGCTCCTGTGGGGCAGAATATATTGGTCGCATGAGCCGGCTTTTGTCCAAAAGAGTACGATAACTTCTTCCAGCATGGTTAGGAAACGGTCAAAAAAGAACATCAACAGTTACACTCTAGCGCACAAAGACTCGGGTCATCGCGTGGATTCTGGAGCGGCTTTTCGAGTTATCTATAAGGTGCCCTCAGGCTATTCAAAATTCCTTGCACAGCGTCTATTGGCTAACGCAGAAGCAACTGCAATTCGGTTACGCAAGCCTGTCCTCTACGCCCAAAAAATTGTAAAAGCGCCGCAGTTACCATGGCCGAAAGTCGGCATTTCAACTGCCCGCAGCTAATTACTTTTCCCAGCGATCCGTTCCTCTGACACTGATCAGACTACTGACCCCAATTTTGCTTCCTTCGACCCTGAAAACCGCACAATTTTTTCTATCAACCCGAGTATCTTTAATTTGTCAATGATGATACAAATGTGCAGGCCTGAAGAGAATTTACCGAAAGCAAACGCATGCTCGCCAATTTGTCTTTTGAAAGATGCAGTCTAATGGACTGGTACTGACTTGGATGGAATAACTGACGATGTTGGAACTATGCCTAGGCGTTCTGCACACTCGGTAGGCTTCATTGGACGTTAAACTTTCCTATTTACTGCTATTGCAACCCCATTTCTGTTTGACCCTTTACGTTTAATCATGATTCCGTGTCTACTGT